GGTGCTGGTGCTGGTGCTAGTGCTGCCGCTGCCCGTGCTGGTGCTGGTGCTGGTCACATACATGCATGCAGGCCGGTGCCTTGACAAAAAGACACAAGTCATGCCCTCTTCAGTGGTGTGCCGGTAATGAGGAGCTGGCTGTCTACTTTGGACAAAATCCTGGAGTTCGTGGAGGGCGGCCTCGGCAAGGCAAGAGCTTCTCGGTCGCTTTTGAAGGCCTCGCCTCCACATTGCAACACCAGCAAGCGCACACAACCGTCACTGAAGGTGTCGTCAAGTGCAGGAGTGCAGGCGACTTATACCTTTGAATCATGGGCCCTCACAGAATGACCGACGAAGCGCACGTCGCCGGACAGCTCTCCTGGATCTTCACAGGATCTGAGGTACTTACTCTCCCCGAACCCTTCGTCTTGATTGCTCTTCGTCCCTGACAAGAGTCAGGCTGACTTCCTCCCACTCCCTCAACCTGAAACAACCTCCCCGCTCCTTGGCTCGTCACGATGCCCTCGCCCTCACGCCGCGTTGCCGAGGCCATCGCCCGAAACGGCCCGAAACCCTCCGAAGCTCCCGAGTGCCGAGAAGCCGCCAACGTGCAGTCGTTTGGCCCGCCCAAGCTTCTGAGAAAGCAGGAACATGCGCGCGGAAGCCCTGTCAACGACACTCTTGCCACGCGGCTTTGCACGAGAGTACTAGTTACTAGTAGGAATGCAGGACTGCCCTCCCCCTCTTAAGGAGGGCATCCCGATGCAATAGCAGCGGCAGAATCGCACGGCCCCTTGGCCGGGCTACTGACATAACGCATATTGCCGGGCAAGCATAAGCAAAGCTGCGACCTTTGTCGCAGCTGTCACAATGGTGGCCTGTGTCAACATGCTGGGGGCAAGGGAGCGAATTGACCACATGCGTACAACAAGCTCCCGAACAAGTGCATGCAAGAGGCGCAAGTCGCCACTTCACCTCCGATCGGATTTTCTCCGTAACCTTCGCACATCCACGCTAGAAAAGAGCCTGTGAGGGGCACCGCCCCACCAATGCACTACAGCCGAGGCGTGCACAGCGAACATGACGGCAGACTGAGTCATCCCCCGCATGATCTCCTGCCGAAACTGCCCTTTGCCACACAACCTCCAGCACATTAAGCAGATCCAGGAAGCAAGGAAAGCAAGGTGGTCGGTCCATGCTGAGGCCACGATAGAGGGCGAGTGGACCCTCGTCAAAGAAGACCTTCACCGACTTTAGTCATGGTGCCACCAGTCCAGTTCAGGCAGCTTAGCTCCTGGCATTCTGCAAAGCTGCAGAAGCGCTCGGTGCCAGCTTTGCCTCTGTTCCATTGCATTGGATTCCCCTGGTGGACCTCTGAAGCCTTCGATTGCGCTGTGAACAGCGCCTGCGCGAGCGCCTTCCCCCGCACCTAAGCGAACCGGAAGCGTTGAAGCGGTGCGCATTTTTGTCCAGCTCCAGCCGCGGTGGACAAGCTCGGGCACCCGCGTAGGGATACACGAAGCATGTTGCGATGCCCCGTGCAACTGGCAGTGGAAGGTCGTATGGGGAGACAGGAAGCATTTCGCAACTGGGCCAGCTCATGGGAAAAAGTTAGAACGACGAGCACCATCAAGGAGGCAAGACAAGGCTCTTGCATCTCGCATCACTGCACGCCGATTTAAAGTTTAGTCTCCCCGGACGTTGCTGCCACCAGGCCGGGGCAACGAGCTCCAAGCAGGAAGGCCAGAAGAGGCGGGAGGTCCTGGAGAGCTACGGGTGGCTCCGCTACAGCATCTACTCGGAAAAACAACATGGTAACATGCATCTTGTTGAAGAAGTTATGTTGCAAGTTGAAGAGTATCGCTTTGCGATACTTCAACATTCTGGCCTAGACCAGGTCTTACCCCCGCCGATGCTGTCCTTGGCCGCTGCATGTCCGGCCTGGGAGAGGGTGGGGATGCTGGGAGGTGGGGTTCGACTTGCTTTAAACTTTGCATCGCCGAAGCTACCTGGCTACCTGTTCCGATAACCAGTTGTCGAGGTCAAGGCATTCAGGATCTTGCTCTTCAACCAATCGAAGAGTGCGAACTCGATGCCAGGCTTCAGCGAAACCACGAAGTACCTCTCAAAGCAGCGAAGATGTGCTGGATGCCGTACAGACCGCAGCACGAACCCGGGCGTGGCAGGAACTACAGTACAGAGCTTCAGCATGAACGGCGAGTGTCCACGCACGACAGCTTCATACAGCTTCCTGCTGGCCGCACGCACTCCCGGACTTCACTGCCGCGCGAAGGCCCTCTCGAGTGAAGAGGGCCTGCAAATCGACTACGTCACGCCGCGGTCTCACACTGAGATCCCTATCTTTGGCGAGCAAACGGACAAAGAACAGCAGAACAGCTGCGCAACTGGAATCAGACAGCCGGGAATACACCGAAAGTGTAGAACAGCCCAGTTCTACGAACGGAGTGGCATTGCAGGCACATGGCCTTGTGCACTATCTCGGACTTTGAGCTGCTGGGCGGAGCCGTCTGCAGCTGCACGACCAGTGCCTTCCACTGTTGCATTGTGCACAGGCCGCAAAGCGCACTGTCGAAAGGCCTCCATGGGAATGCTAATTGGCACGCACAAGAGATCACCTTAGACAGGCTCTGGGTACGACACATCTGCAGTTGCACCCGACCATGAGGAAGCTTGCTGCAAAACGTGCCCTTAATGTCTGGGACCTTTGCAAGAAACCTTTCCTGTATGGCAGACAAGTACCGAAATTGTAGCATTCTAAAAAATCTGAAGCAGAGAAATATCGTATCCTCAAAAGCATGCTTACAGACTTCGAAAGCACAGATGCCGTGTGTACAATGTCTACTGTAACAGTTGCAACATCGACGAGCACACAAGCATAGCAAGAACTCAGGAATATGCTGGAATGGCCAGATCGACCGAAACGCGCGAGAAGCTGCGACTCGTGGTGCTGTTTTGTGTCACGTCTCTTCGGGGGTGTCATGTCGTGGCACTCCGGCTTCGTGGCGGCAAGAGAGCACCATGCTGCAGGGTCACAGTCGTCGCAAGTTAAACAGGACCCGAGGTGCCCGAAAACCTTTGAAGGTCGACACGACACATGGAATTGCGGTTCGTCCCGGCGGTCCATGTGTCATGTCACTGGGGGGCCATGCTGAGGGCAACATGAAACGGCAGCTTCTCTCGCTTTGGCAGCTCTCACCTATGTAACTTCGCTCTCTTCGAGAGCAAGGAAGCATTCATTCATCACTGCTGCGCCGAACGGAAACACAGGCAGCAGTTGAAACGCAAACACGGAAGGGCCATGCCGTCAAGCCAAAAGGCTTGCAACTCCAAGAAAAAAAGCCGTGTGAAAGGCCCAGCCATGCCCGCAGAGTTGAAGGCTGACGATGCGGCACGGAAAGCAATGGGAGGCAAAATTCACGAGCGCAAAAAAACAAACCCAACACACAGAAGCACAAACCCGGGACAATCCCGCTTTGACTTGAAGGCAAGTATGTAGTAAGAAGGGCTGTTTGCACGGTCGCCGTCTCATAGACTCCTACTCGCACTGAGACCTAGGTGATTCTACATCATCTGCAAGTTGTGCGGCCGAGGCGCTGATATACCCGAGAAGAACAGTTGCCTGTTCGGGAGCGAGAAGCTGAAGGATGCTAGAAGTGCGCTGCCGATGATGTCTTGCCAAGCAAGAGCTACGGTGCCCACCAGCAGCCCGGGTTCACGACCTCGTAGCCTGCAGAGAGGCTGGCAGATGCAAGCAAGTGTCGGAAAGACGTCAGCACAGAAGACGAAGACCCGTCGCAGAGCAGAGCCCCATGGAGCAGTGAAGCCCGGGCACGGCCCCACCCGAAGATCAGAGAAGTTCCTAGCCTAGAGCAACCTGCCTCCGGAGCAGGGCTTTCAGTGCCGTGTAGTTCAACACGTACAGGGCCTTCTGCTCCATCGCCTTCCGCCGAGCCGACATGACAACTGTGAGAGTCTACTCGGATACTTTTTTTTGTCATGTTTACGCTCGACCTTTGTAGCTGGTCACGGCTTTTCAGGTGCACATCTGACGTCTTGTAGAGCGTGGCCTTTGGCAAGCAACTGCCAAGCCTCCAGCGCCGAGAAAGGAAACAGCCCCCGATACAACCTCGGCGCAACCCTTCTGACACTTGCCCCGAGCAGGAAAACTTAAGCTGAACCTCCCAGCAGGGAGTTCCACTGACGTTCGCCCATGATGCAAGGGAGACAGGCCGTCCGCAAGGACGACTCAGACCAGCAGACCAGGAATTGCAACGCAAATGTCTCAGCGAAGGAGGCCACGCCAATTGAGACCGCACTCTCACCATGCCACCACCGCTCAGTGAAACCCCGCGAAGACCGACATAAACTGAGGTCGAGGCCCAGCCACACCCTCCTGGCATCTAAGCTCAAGTCATTGCATGTGCACAAAATGGAAGCCGGAAAATCCTCTTGCCTCGGAAAGGACGCGCTTGAACAGCGCAAGGAAAGAGACATCCTGAGCTCGATCAGAGGTTGCTAAGCGGGTGCAGGAGGGGTGCACTCACAGCGGTTTCACCACACCCAGACGCACAGCCGCACTCTCCTTTTTGCTTGCGGCATCTTGCCCTCACAGACTCAGCTTCAGCTCTGCTTTCGCAGCGACTTTGGCAGCTCCCGGTCCTGACATTGACATCGTCGCCCCGTGGCGCTTAGCTCCGCTTAGTCGCTGCAGCCCAGCCCTGTCACACTTGCAAACCTCGAGGCCCGAAGTTCCAGATGAGGTGGCGGAAATCCCAAGTGCCTGGGAAACTTCGTCTGCCAGCAGTCCGCCGGGCATCGTCATCCTCCTTGCATCGGAGGGTGACTCATGCAAGCGCCAAGAGCTGCAATTGCCAACTGCCGCAGCCACTGCCTGATGATGTCCGCGCCCTCGCGAGCAAGCTCCTGTTAAGGAGGCCGAACAACAGCTGCTCTTATGTCAGCAGGCTTCCCTCGGCATCCGCAGACATGCAGAGTCTGCACGGCAAGCTTTGCATCCACATTTACTTGTTGTACCCTGTCGTCGGGTCACAGTAGTGACGGCCACAGCAGATCAACAAATTGCTGTGAATTGCTGTTGCAGGTCGGGCGGAACCGATGCTGAAATCGGGCCCCCGGTTCTCTACAGGCCGACGGGGTTGACGAGCACTTTGAACGCGCGGCTCCACTGGCATACATTGAATACGCGAGCATCCACCACACTGCGGCTAATGCTACAAAGACTGCCCGGTCTGCTCTTAAGCCGCCATACCACAGTCAACTGTCAACCAATATACCTTATGTAGTACCGCAGCATTACATTATGCCTTCTCCATTACTGGAATCCATATATCTGGCTTGAAATGATACTCTATCATTTTAGCACCGGCACCTCCCTCAGTCGGTAGCATAAAATTCCGCGCAGCGGTCCTGGGCCTCGCGCTCCGCCGCGGCCTCGGCGAGCAGCTGGGACTGCTCGCCCTCCTCGCCGCTGAAAAGAAAAAACCGAGGCGGAGGGCATGGTAACTTCAATCAGTTCGGCTCCTTTCGGGGTTCAGGATGGTTGAGGCCTTGAGGGTAAGCGTCTGGGCTCATGTCGTTTGATGTCAGTGTCTGTCCATTTGTTGGTTGGGTATTTTGGTGTTCAGGGCACTAGGGTTAAGGGCTTCTGGCTCAGAGACTTTGGGAGCGAAAAAATGCAGAAATGACTGTCCGAAACCCGAGCACACTTCGGAGCACAACTTGCGGTCCCTGCCTTTGCCCAGCGCTTGAAGGCATCCTTCAGTGCGCGTGGCTGATGGCAGGAGGGTTGGGGCTTGCAGGGTTTAGGGCTGCATGCCTGAATCGAATTTCGCTCCAAGAGTCCATGGCTTCCTTCTTCTCCTCCTCTTTTGCTGCCTCCTTGGCAGCTGCTGCGGCCTCCTTGTCGGCGGCCTTCTTGTCCTTGGCAGCCTCCTTCTCCTCGGGCTCTTGGCTCTCTTAGCGGGAGGGAGAATGCAGGCTAGCGAACATGGTCGAAGGGTCAGAGATTCCTCAGCTAAGCCGAGCGTCCAATGCATCATCGGCAGTCCACTTCGCAAACATGTCCTCCTTGTCCAGCTTCTCAGCCTTGAGGGAATCTACCAGTGAAACCGATACAAGCACAACTTCCCAGCAAACGCCCTGATCAGGTACCACCATTGAGTTGTGCCTTCTCCTTCTTGTGCTCGTCCTCCTCCTTCTTATCCTTCACCTTCATGTCGTCCTTCTTCGTGTCCTCCTCCTTCTCATCCTTTGCCTCTTTCTTGACCTCCTTCTTATCCTCCTCCTTTTTGGCCTCCTCTTTCTTGGCAACGTCTTCGGACCTTTGGAGTTTGTCGCAGCCAAGATTATGTGAGCACCGGAGCGCAGCGGATTGCAATTTGATGGCTGAGCGGCTCTTTCTTTGCTTCGTCCTGTGTGCATGATAAGGTCATGAGGGCTTGGTTTGCGAGCCTTAACCCTGCGCATGGCCTATAATAGCTACAAAAAAAGGTAAAAATGATTGTAAACAATCACCCTGCTTGCTGGCCCTAGGGCCTAGGGCCTTCCTGAACCAGTTATGTTGTTGTATTACGAGCTCTGGCGCAGAGTCGTCTCCAGAAGCTCGGAAAACACTCCAGCCCGGTATGCCAAGTGCCAACGTTTTGCCGAAATACCTCGACGAATTTTAGTAGTTTGCGAGAAAGCCAACGGCCAACACAGCTGCTGTGCAACAGAAGCCTCGCAATCATGCGTAAGGAATTCGCGATGAGTCTGTACCAGTTCTCAACAGCCCAGATTGGTGGATTCGCTGGCTCCAAACCGAGTCTCAATCTGAGCGAGTGCATCTTGCAATTCACAGTTTCAGTCTTTGGCAATTAACAGTCAGACAGCCACCTGAGGACAGAGAAGCTTGAATGACAAATGGTATTTGAACCACGCCGACAATGCACCGGGCAAGGCCTCTCGGAAGATTCGCTACCCCCCCCCCCCCTACCCTTGTCGCAACCCTAGTCCGAGAGTTTGCAGCCTTGTCGGTCTTCTCCTTCTCAGGCTCCGCCTCCTTCCGTGGGATTTACAGAGTGTTCTGGGAAGCGTTTCCGGTCCATCGTTGCTCCCTCTCAGCTTTGACCCTTTGCAAGCCTCTTTGGAGCCACCGTGCTTGGCCAGCCGCTCGGCCTTCTCCTTGGAAAGCGGCACTTGCTGGAGAAAGTAGACCCTGAGACCCTGACCCCTTTCAAAGCTCCCCGCCTGTGCAGCTTCCTCCGCGAGCTTGGACGCCTGACACTGCTGCAACAGCACCCCCCGCCTTGATTCCTGATAGGAGCCGGCCGGCCTTCTTCTGGGCCTCCTTGCGCGCCACCTGCTCCGCGGCCTCCTTGGCCGCGGCCACGGCACGGGCCTCGGCACAGTTCCTCTCTCGCACCTAGTCCGCTGTTTAAGGTCTACAGGCAGTAGCTCGAATCCTTACAGTTTGTTTTACTACTACTACTGCTACTACTACTACTTCTTCTACTACTACTACTACCACCACCACCACCACTACTAATAATAAGAATAAGAATGATACTACGACGACAGTCCGATTGAGCCTTCGCCGTCTGCTCCGCCACCTCCTCCGCATGGTCCTTTTCACCAGTCACCCAAAAGGTGCCCAGGAGAGTGAGAAAGACGGAAAACGCACAAACACCGTTCATGGCAAAACCTGCACGACAGGTCTGAGAATCGCACGGAGGTAACAGGCTAGCACTCTTGAACGTTCTTTTCGATGCACGCAGGAACGCGCAAGATCGCCAAAGCCTCGTATCTTGGATACGGCATTCGTTTGACCGTGCTCTGCATGAAAAACAAGTTCTTCCTATACCATCCTACACATCAGATAAGCGTCAACCCAAAACCTTGGTGCTTCTGGCCTGAGGGTCTGGGCCTATGTCTCGTAGAAGCCGCCGAAAGTGGGCCAGGCCTTTTGCTTGGCAAATTGGCTTCCCACCTTCCCTGTCGTCCATGTTTCCCTGTAGTTCCCCAAGTGGAAGGGGGCCCAGCGTATGGAGCCCTCCCGCACACGGATGCCGCCTCCATCCTCGGGGATATGGGGAGTCCTGAACTTGGCCTGCTGCTCCGAAGGGTGGCAGAACTCGACCTCTGCGTTGGACTTGTAGAACTCCGTCCCAGGTCGACTTACGTGAATCCAGTGGTCACTGGCAGTTCTGCTCAGGGACTTTCGCATCTGGTCCTTTTTCCACTCGCCGTAGGCCTGCGTAGTCAGATTTGAGAAGGTATGCGTCCCCGGACCCGGCAGCTGGTGCGCTTTCATGATCCGGGTTTGCTGCATTGCGGGCTCCATCTCTTTCTCTGTCCAGTTGTCTGCTCCAAGACATGGAAAAGAGTAGATCGACACGGGGTGGTTGTTCTTCCGGCAGGAGTTCTTCGGCATCTCTCTGCAGAGGAAAGGAGAACGCGGGCGGCGGGCCACCTGCAAACCTGTCGCTTTACCCTCTCTTCCTGAACGGCCGTTTACGCCGTCCGGTTGCTCGAGAGCCCCCGAACTTGAGCTGACAAGCTGCGGACGCACATGCAAACCTGAAGACTGAAACAACATGCAAATGAGGTCCAAACAGATCTAGACAAACTCTAGACGATGTCCCCCTAGAGCAAGCAAAGCTCCTTGACACCAGCGGCAGCTTTGGAAATGGCCGCAGCCTTTGCCACCTCGCTCGCCGCATCCTTGGCCGCCTCGAAGGCCTTTCTCAAACAAGGCCATCAGTGGCTCAGAGCGAAAAAGAGATTCGAAGAGATCGCGGCCGGCGCCTCCTTGGAGGCCTGGGTCAGGGCGTCCCTCTTTGCATCCGCCATGGCGGCTGCCTGCGAGAAGAGGCGTCTGCGATCCTCTGCGGCTGACTCTCTGCTTTTTAGGCATCCGCCTTGGCGTTGCGCAGCGCGAAGTTGGCCGCCTGTCGGAAGGCCTTCTCCAGGGCCTCTGACAGTCAGAGCTCCAAGGACAAAAAAGCTCAGGTCAAAGTCTGAACGCATTCGGGCGGCGTAAGCAGCAGTGGCCGCGGCAGCCTGGATGGGATGAAGTGACCGTCTTCAGGCGCGAGCCCCAAAAGAGTCTCGGACCCCACTCTGAATCCCACATGTGCCAGGCTCCCAAAGGGGGTTAGCCAATGGAAGAAACATCTCCCGGCCTGAGCGTCCGGGGTCCTCAAGGGACCTTCCGGTGACGCACAGGCAGTGGCATAGGCCGACCCCTGGGCATAGCCCTCTGCCGAACGGGTCTTTGTGCTGGTCCTTCCAGGTCATAAGAGATCTAAGATGACTATGCTCTTCTGGGCTTGCCAGGCCCGTCACTGTCGCTCTTCTGTCTCACTGTTCATGCGACAATAATACAACAAGCTAAGACCACACCAGGATTCTCCTGAAAACACCGATGCAGAAATGCAAAAAAAAAACTATGCGCTAAGACTCTAAGACAGAACCATATCCTGTCCAATCAGCATCTGAACGTGACCTCGAACCTTGCGACCAGGCCCCCATTTTCCGAAGTCGACTGCTGTCCCTCTCCTGATGGCCGATTGCGTGTAGGGCACGTTGATATCTGCCGTCGCCTCGCCCGTCACCACGGCGCTTGCCGTCGCGGATCGCGTCGCGGTGGCCTGCTTTCGCATGTTCCGCAAAATATCAAACTTTGTGTCGAAGAGCAGAATCGAATCGGAAATGCGCAACTCTGACGGCACCGAGCTCCCGACCTTCTGAGTTCGATTGCCTGACTCCCACAATTAGACAGCTCAGTCTCAGCTTCATGGAGAAACCGGTTTCTCACCGTGCGTGCCTAGCGCCACTCGTAAACCTATTTTACAGATGACCGAAGCAAGAGGACCCTTTGACCCCCATCCCCTCTCTCCCCTCTCTGAGCCCGAGGAGCTGTTCGGGATCTCCGCGGAAGCGCTTTCCGTGGCCTACGTCTGCTCCGGGCTCGGGCTCGGCGGGCTCGGGATCTCCGACACCAGAAGTGTGCAAACGTAGGGGGACAGGGGGGGAGCTATAGGATGTCTAGACTTAGAAACGGTGAAGAATTCCGGTGTTTTCGGATATGTAGGATGCTACATGGCTTGAGTTTCACACTTTCCCCGGATCCTTCGTTGTTTCAAAGCACGCCTCACTTGGGCTTCCTGAACCCTGAACTCTAATTGGCATGTCGGCGCACGCGCCGCTCGAGAGTACATTTGCATGTTCCCATGCCTCCTCCTCAACGCTCTTCTGCGAGACTGTGGCGGTCTCCTTGCTCAAGGCACAGAGTCTTTCGGCTTCGAGGTCTAGGGATTGGATTCAGGGCCTCCATCCCCTTCCTAAGTGTACATGGGTAGTTCTCTAAATTTGGTTCCCTTTTTAGGTCCCAAAGAAAGTATGGCATCTGCACAAGAAGGACCCTCAAAGGCGTCCTGATTTAGAGAACTACCAACATGGATGCTAAGAAATCCGCTAGTCGACGGCGGTCTTTCCTGAATCCCCCGAGGCATCCACAATCGCTCTTCAGGAAAGCAGGAGAAAGAGCAAAGCTATGCTCGCAACCGCTGAAGGGATGCTTGAATTGGGTCGCGAAGGCATGGAGTCGTTTTGGACCGCTGCGAACCCAGGAGACAAAAATCGGCGTCGTGTCGAAATCCACTCCCCCCCCCCCCCCCCCCGGCCCCACACCCACATCCATAAAGATCCGCCCTCTGGATTCGCTCGATTGGGCAACAAGGCAGATTGAGGAGCTGGGCACTTGGTAGATTTGGCAGAGTACTGTAAGGAAACCTTTGATGAAAGTAACTTGGCAATTCTCGCAAGACTGACATAGCTGGTGATTGAAAATATCTTCGAATGCTTCACAAGAGTCACTGGAAACTTTTCACATGTCCCAAAATGGCATCCACAGAACGCAGCTCAACTGTGCTACGCGAGAGGCCGACACCTTTCAGAATTCATGTCAGAACAAGAACCGACAAAAATTGAGCTCCATGGTAGATCGAGAAAACTATTTGCCGACAGACTTCAGCAAAAAAACAGACCCTACCGGCGCGACTCTCAGGCCGACTCTAGAAGACAACAGCCTTGGCCGTGGCATGTGCGTTCTTGGTGCTGATGGCTTTCACGGTGACGTTTTTGGTGACTGACATCCTGGCATCGTCAAGCAGATCCTCCAGGACATGGACCCCTCACGCCAAGGGCCCGGCGTTGCTTTGGCTTGCGGCACCGTAACCTTCACCGTCACGCACGCTTGCCCGGAGACTGCGAAGACACGCTGGCACATCTGGCGGCCTTGGGGGCAAGTTGGGGCTTCCACAGCGATATTTGTAGGACTTACCGGACCGCAACAGACGTATCGAACTGCCCTTATACACCTGCGCACATGTTCAAGCTAGCACATCGGAGACCACAAGTTGATGTGTCAAGCAATGATGGGAATGAGGTGCGGCTGTGCACCCACAAAGACGAACAAAGACTGTGGTACAGTTTTCAGGGAAGTCACCCAGCTGGCAGCCGTCATTCGCAGCGCAGTCCAGGCAGGTAGCCTGCACAACCGCACAACCCCCTTGAAGCGGCAATTGCATGCATGTGTGAATCAGCCTTCACAAGGCTTTCTGCAAAACTCCAACTCATTGGTAAACGGCAAGCGGCCTTCTTCATCACTTCGCGGTCCACTTTGCCGTTAAACTCAGGTGGAAGTTTGCACGTCAGGCCGTCCTGCAACACGACCACCGCCCACAACACACGAACCAGGAAAGTCAAGCTCCAAGCTGGGGGAGGGGTCGAGAGAGTTAGTTAGTGATGACCATTTCCATTTTCTAACCATGCCACCCCCCCTAGCACCCCAAACCATAACAACCT